GATTCTTTTAATCTATATTTTAAAGATACAATTTAGAAATATTTTTTTAACATTAATTATTATTAAAAAATTAATATTTATTTAAATAATCATTAATTAAAATAATACATATAACATTAATAATAAAATTAATATTAATTTTTATTATTTTGTATACTAATTAATATCAAAAATATATATTAATTATATTCTTAATTTATGTCCTTAGAGGTTCAATTAGATAAATCCTATATTTTATAGAGCAAAGAATAAAGATGGGAGAAGAAATACAAGTTTAGACCTATAGATGAGAAAAAGCACCTTTTTTGTTACATAATAACTTAGTTAATTGTTCTATGGACTTTATTTTTTATTTTTATTTTTTTGGTGGAAATGGGAATTTCATTGAAGCAAATTAAGTTTTACAAAAAGTGGTCCGATACACAATACAACCATTTCTATCATGAAAGTAACTAGAGGAACAAAAAGACGGAATAGAATCAAAAGTGACAAAAAAGTGACTTTATTTATTTCATTATGTGTGTTTAGTAATGTTATTATTATGACACTTTAAATCAATGATTGTTATACCCAGAAATAACTTAGCAATGGGACACGTGGAAAACACTTACAACACAAGAAAAAAGGTAATTCAAATCGAGCATAAAACCTTTGGTGGACGCATTTTTTCCTAAATAAGAGAAATTCGATTATGGTCCTATTAGAAATATAATATTAAATTCTTTATAGCCAAAGTTATAGTCTTACAAATTTTCTATATATCTTATTATAAATACCTCTAACTTAGAGGGTGTTGGAGGAAAATTCAAAATTAAATTTTAAAATAACTTTTAAACAAATTTTTAAAAAATTATATATCAACTCTTTACTAGAGACCCTCTTAACAAGGGTCCTTTTTTTTTTTTTCTCACTTAATTATTATTGTAACTTTTTTTTTTAAAATAAATTTACAAGAGGTCAGATTCGAACCGTTGCCTTAAAGTGGAGGAATGCACTTATACGTAATCTAACACTATTGAGCCCGAAGGCCCAAGTGCGTAACTTTCTTTTATTTATCAATAAAATTATCGATTTCATTTATTTTTTACTGTTAACAATAACATTACACTAAATATATATTTTTTAACTCGTTTACATATGAATAAATGAAATATTAGTAATTCAAAACTCATTAATCAAAGCAATATAAAAGTATAAGTGCAATATTTTAAAGTTAAAATTAACACTCTAGGGTTTAGGATGTGTGAATAACTTCACCTTTATTCTTTGTTGTTATATTAATGGTATTGATTTTTCTTTTTCCACATGCACTCCAAATTCTTAAAATTGAGAAATGAAAATCCTCCTTAATTTACCAACAAAAAATCTCCCAAGCAATGGGGTCCCCGGACCTTTAACATTCTTATGAGTGGCTAACAATAATTGAAAACAAGATTTTTTTTTCTTTTTTTTTTTTCCAAGAAATAAGAATTATATATCTCTATAAAATATCCCCACTTTTCTACAACGTGTAAATTTTCTATTGGTTCCAAAATGATAAGAATTCTGTGTTCACAAACCGTTACTAATTCCAAATATATAGTTTGAGTTCATCCCCTTCAAAGAGTAATCCCTTACTCATTAAACTCTGCAAATATCACCAACTGCAACAAAAGCAACCAAAAATGGCAACAATCACCGGTCTCAGCCTCTCAACCCCGAAAGTCCAAGCTAGGATGCCAGACATGGGAAAGCCCCACCTCTTCAGAACCCCATACCTGAACCAACCATGGAGACGGGCCTCTGCATTTGGATCCGGCCGCTTGCATGTTCGACCCGTGAGGGCAGCTCCTGACAGAATCTCAGAAAAGGTGGAGGAGAGCATTAAGAGCGCGGAGGCGGCGTGCGCTGATGACCCAGCGAGCGGCGAGTGCGTGGCGGCGTGGGACGAGGTGGAGGAGCTCAGCGCTGCGGCGAGCCACGCTAGGGACAAGAAGAAGGAGTACGATCCTCTGGAGAATTACTGCAAGGATAACCCAGAGACCAAAGAGTGCCGTACTTACGATAATTAAAGTGGGAGTTTACGGGCTTTTTTTACGAACAACGTTAGAAAGTGTTCCTTCGGGGCACTATGTGCAAACCGTAGAACAAGAACTCTTTTTTATGAATGTTAATTTCGTAGAAAATGAAAATTTCAGATGTTGTTGTGTGCCATCTCCATGGAGTTGTGTGCTTATTTTATTAGAATAACAAATATACTGCACAATACACGGTCGAAAGAAATATTTACAAATTTTATGAGCTTAAAATTAGTTGTTATAGATTAAGAATTTTTTGGCTAAATATTTGTTTTTGGAGTTCTTTGGTTTAATTGATAAGAAAATTTGTTATTTATAGTATTAATTAAAATTTAATAAGATAATGAACTTCCCATGCCATCCATTGGTTGGGTTGGGTTGTGCTCAGAACAGGTGGATGTCACCCACGATCGAGCATTTTTATGTATTGAACATATATTAACTTTTAATTATTATTTTTATTTTCAAAAAAAAAATTTAATAAGATAATCTTTGATAAAATTTTTAATTTTGATGTAAATAAATTTTTTTATTAAATTAAAAATAAATTAAAATTTAATGAGATAATTTTTTTATAAATTTTAAAATTTTGATGTAAACAATTTTTTTAAATTAAAAATAAATTAATTTTAAAGTAAAGCGTGACCTATCTTGGAGAGATACCTAACTACCCAACAAACACAAAGGAGATCTTTTGATGGGCCACAATGATCAAGTTTGGATGGTGATTAAAAATTTTGATGAGTAATCACGAATCTTTAAAAAACAAAAAACAAAAAACAAAGCAATTTGAAGGAATAGAGAATGAGATTTGTGGGTTTAAATATGCAATTACATAAAGTAATTCTCATTTTAATTAAAAATTGTGATCATTATATTAAAGCGTGAGGATTACACATCTGTTTATTATTATTTATTTTAAAATAAATTCGCAAGAATTGGATTCGAATCATTATCTTAAAAAAAATGCACTTATACATAACTTAATGTTATTGGGTAAAACTGCATCACGCATCTGTTTATATATTATCAAATGAAGGTGAATCATATGTATTTATAATTATTAAATGAAAGTGGAGTTTATTTATATGTTATTAAATGAAAGTGGAGTTTATGTTGTGAAGAAATTATTTTTGTTTAAAAATGATAACAATAATTGATTGCCTACGCATTCGTCTAACATCACTGAAAATAAAATCATGTTTTTAAAGGAACGTAGTCCAACATGATTGGCTACTTTAGTGTATAATTGTTATTCTCTTTGGATAATAATAATTATTATTATTTTATATCATAGAGTTAAATGTTTGTTATTAAAAATGTAATCTTAAATTGAATTTTAGAATACTAGATATCAACTCAATAAAATTTTTCTTGTGTTTCCATTATTAATGATATAAGTGAAGTACCGAAGTATTGCAATGAATTATTTTCCTTAAAAATGATATTCCTTCTATTCTAATTTAGATCTCTTAATTTGAGTATGCACATATTTTTAGATAATTCTTTTTTATAGTTATCTTTCTATTTATTTTTAATTAGTTGATTTAATTTGATTTTTTTATTTATTAAAAATAAAATTTAAATAAAATTTTAACAATTTATATGAACAATTATT